TTCAATATCTGTTGCTTAGGAAGATCTCTGATTTTGGTCTCTCTATCTTGTGATACTCAACAATTATTTATGAACTATATGAACTAAGTTGTAAATTCTTGTATGTCCCAATTACTGTTTCACTAAGAAAGAGATGTTCTGTGATTCAGCATGAAATCTAGAACTTCGACCTTTTGCTTTTTTTTTATTGATGAAGTCGTGGTGATGTGACAGTGATGATCGTATAATAATAATTGTAGTAATTAATAATAATAACTATTTTCTGTAACTTAGACCAGTTTACCTTCATGAGTACTTAAAATGCACAAAAATCCAAAATGCTTTTTAAAATACAGGGTTATTTAATGTCCTAAAACCTGTTGAATTGATTATGAACATTTACTTTTCTCCATCTAAATTATTTTTCACTACTTAAAAAAAGATCTGAGGGAGTTTGAAAGCAGGTATGGAGGAAACGAGCAGCATCTAGAATAGTGTCCAACTTTCCTCACTTTTCTGTTCCTCTGCAAGTGCTTAGAATATTGGACAGACCATAAGACGTGATAAACATTCAGAAAGTTTCAGAATCCTTCCCATCTGTGTGTGTGAATCATTTGTTCTCAAACCGTGACCCAGAAACAGTACCAGAACCAATCTTCTTCAGACACCCAAGACATTCCTGTTCTCCTCTGCTTTGGCACCAGGGGAGAGCTATCTCTTCTCTCTCCCGTCTCCCCTCACCCTGATGCTCCCTGGGCCCATCTCGGACCCATCCTCAGTGCTGTGCAGACCTTATTCTGGTGACAGAGCTGACAATTATAAACATTATCCAATTGAACAATCGTCTATACCTCCATTTCTGTTGCCCTATATTGAGGTGATTAATAGCTGTTCTCTCTCTATATATATTTTTTTCTTTTCTTTTCTTTTTTTTTTTTTTTGGAGACAGAGTCTCACTCAGTCACCCTGGGTAAAGTGCCGTGGCATCATAGCTCACAGAAACCTCAAACTCTTGGGCTCAAGTGATTCTCTTGCCTCAGCATCCCAAGTAGCTGGAATGACAGATGCCCACCACAATGCCCATTTTAGAGGCGGGGTCTCACTCCTGCTTACTCTGGTCTCAAACTCCTGAGCTCAAGTGTTCTGCCTGCCTTGGCCCCCCAGAGTGCTGGGATTATAAGCGTGAGCCCATGTCCAGCCCACTTGTTCTGTATTTTAAATGGCACCGTGCTGAATAACTTTGTGCATAAACTGTCCTATATGATTAACTTTAAAAGAAGTCAACACAAATCTCCACAAATTGGAACCCAGACAATGTACCTAGTGGACAACTGTTACTTAGGTGAAATGGGAAAGGGAACTGTGGAAGGTGTTTGTCATAGATGCCAATCTGCTTCTGTCTTTTTAAGTTTCTTGAGGGCAAGAGTTATGCTTTAAATTTTTTGTATTTCCTTTGGATCCAGAATTATTCTTTCCATAATTCTCAGTAAAAGTTGTAATTCTTGCACTGAATATGCAATAGATCAGACTAATCAACAAGACATCACCTGGTTTTGCCCCCACAAGCCTCAGTGCATGTGAAGGATTCCATCGGCCCTCTCTGCACATGGCCCTCTCTGCACACAGCCCCTACTGCCAGCAGGCAATGTGTCCTGGGGAGAGGAGCCTTGCCAGAGGGATTTTCTGTTGCTAACATCCTCTTTCCTGATGATTATTCCTGTAGCATTTCCTGAATTATACGGTCCTGGGAGGTGATTGCAATCACTGAGAAGGACGTGTCACACCTGGAATTCAGCACTCTTCCGCCACCACACAATTTACCCACAGTCAAATATCAAATCTAGTTTACTGCTAACCTTAGTCGTTTCGCGTGTAGTAAGATACTAGTGCTGAGTATTAGTTTGCCGTAAAGTTTAGCCCTTTCAACATATATAGATATATAAAGAAGCAACCAATCTATTTTATAATCAGGTAGAATTAACAACATAATTCACTTTAAGAGGATATAATGCATGTTCTTATGGCTCTCCCTCATTTCTCTGAAAGATAAACACTGCTCTTCAACTTTGAATCAGTTATATGTTTGTAATATGTAAACAAAGTAGCCGGATTAGTCCTATCGTCTATATGAATGAGAATAGTATTAATACTATATAACACTTTTCCTTGTTTAAAAATAGAAGGCGTTGGCATGCATGGACATGTGTGTGTGTGTGTGTGTGTGTGTACTTGTGTATCTATGCATGTCTGCATGCAGGTGTAAATAGATGAATACACTCATCAACGTAACTGTGGGACTATGTCCCAATAAACCTATGGTGATTTGAAGATATGGTAAGCATTGCTGAGGCTAGACTGTCTTAAACATGCTCAGAACACTTAAATTTGCCTGCAGTTGGGCAAAATCACCTAACACAAAGCCTAGTTTATAATGAAGTGTTGACTATCTCGTGTAATCTGTTGACTACTGGACAGAAGATGAAAGATGGAATGGCTATGTCGCTACTCGGTACCCAGTTTCTGCTGAATAGAAATCCATTTTGCACCATCATAAAGTCAAACATTCATATAAAAGACCTAATAATTTGACTTCACCTTAGGTATTGGCCTGTGCCACAAATCCTTACTGCTCTTGAGTCTGACAGTTTTAGGAGTGAATACGATGTGAGCACACTCACATTTAGAAAGGGCATTGCATTAGAAACCAGGCAGATCCATCTACTCTAAAAGCAACTGCAAGGTCAACCACTTGAAATGAGATCCCAGAGGTTCTCAGTGGGTAATTCGTGACGTTTCATGAGTTTATCAAGATGAAGAAGCCAAATAAGGGAATTGTGAGCTGACCAAACACCTGTGGGCTGAACACCTGTTTCATTAAATGGGCCCCCTTGAAGGTAAAACTTGACTTCAACTTTTGAGGAACTAAGATGACCTGGATGGACAGTGGAAAGAATCACAACATGTGAGATGCCTTGAATAAAAAAGGATTCACTTTAAACAATTTTGACAATTTCATAATTTAAATAATCCTTTATACTGTTAAAAAATTCATAAGTCATATGTCATTAGTCAGGAACCATCATTAATTGATGTATGTCTATCTACATATATATGTGTGTGTGTGTGTGTGTGTGTATCTATCTCCTCATGTGTTTCATACTCCCCTATATAAAATGTATACACCTACATTCAAACATCACACATATATATATATATATATATTTTTTTTTTTAGTGTTGTAAGTTCATACTCTCCTAGTCACCAGTAAGTCCTGTAAATTGATCTCCCCTTTCTTTCTAAAGAAGAAACTAATCTAGTTCATGATATTTTTAATTCAGCCTGAGAAGAGTCTTCTATTTGGGATGGTTTTGATATTTTTTATTGTTTGCCTGAAAAGGACTCACTGAGGAGTTTATGGTAATGTGTTTTAAACGCCAATTAAACTACGCCATTTAGAAGCAGTTATGATGGTGTATAACTTACAAACAATGCTTCTCCTCAATCATATCAACAATTACACATAATCAAATACATTACATTTGTAATCATATAATCCTCGATTTTCTTGTAGAAGAGTTTTGATTCCATAAAAATATCAAAAACAATATTCAAAGTATGGGTAATTTAATTTATTGTCACAACAGATTTTAATTACTGGCATCTAAAGTAACCGTGCAAATATATCTCTTGCATAAAGAAATCCCGAATAATGGGACAATTAAAAGAATTCCAGTTTAAAAAAAAATTATAATAATTACCAAGGTAGTTTCTATTCATTTAGATTTGATCGAGAGCTTTAACATACAATAATTTTTATGAAGAAAATAAAAATTTATTTATGGCACACATCACTCATGCACACTACCAAAGAGACAAATTTCCAAGAACAGTCCTAAGGCACAGAAAACATACAAAGCTAAAATTAATTCGAACACCACATATTGTTTTATGGCATCTGACAATAATAGCCCATGCTGATCTCAGGTGCTGTTCTAGGCCTTGAATGTTTATAGATTTATTTAATCCCTACAGCAGGTATGCGGGATTTGTCCTGTTACTGCCTCTAGGTTTCAGATGAAGATGCTGAGGCCGAGAGAGATTAAGTCGCTTGCCCCAGATAGCTCAGGTAGCCAGTGGAGAACCCAGAATTCATACTGACACTGTGTGAGGATTAAATAAGACCATTTGATTTCCCAGAGAACATGGAAATTTAATCTTGGAAGTTAGTTTAGGGATTTTTCTCTCCAACATTTCCCAAAGTGTATCCCTTGATCAAATTCTGAAATACAAGCTTCTACATCAAAGAAAACACAATATAATATTTCTTCCTTTGCTCTCATGGCTACAGTGTTAGTGGGGTATAACAAAAGTTTGGAAAAGTCCTGAAGTGTAGACATCTGTTTCAAACGGCATTTTCCAGATAAGAAACCTTTACTGGACTCACCTTTCTCAGAACATAAATTCTGAGAAAGTCCAGCCCTCCCATCTGGCAGGTGGAAAATCCAGGCTGAAAACGCCTTTGTGACCCCGAGGTCTCACCTATCCATCCTGTACACATTTCATCTCACTCAGCTTTTAAATCAGCTTGTAGGTGTAACAGTTCTGCTATTCTAAATTTCTTCCAGGTTTCTGTTTTATATAAACATTTCAACAGGAAAACTTTCATTAAAATGACGCTGCCGGACACCAGAGAGAAATTGATGAAGTTCTAGTTGACTCAATACAAGTGACTCACAGGAAATATTTCATTTAAGAAACGTTCAACGTTGTTCTTATTAAATATTCCATTTATCCTCAAGTATTTAACATCTGAAAATTATAGACAAATAAAACCAACCAATTTAACATTCTCCTCCTAGAATGTCTTGAGGTTCTAGAGAATCCGTCTTTCAGGCAATGCCCAGAGGCCATAGAGTATTTCCTCACCATACTTTTACATTTCATGATATCACGGAGTTAATAATATGGTTTGACACAGTTTTATGTTCGTTCTTCTCACCACATGTATTTTACCATTTCAGTTCCTCCGAAGATATACGACATCTCAAGCGATATGACCATCAATGAGGGCACCAATGTCACGCTCACCTGTCTGGCCACTGGGAAGCCAGAGCCATCTATTTCCTGGAGACACATCTCCCCATCAGGTAACCAGGAACGCGCCAGTGTCATGTGTGCTGTCCATTTCTTTCCCGTAGCCCTTCTTGTTCATTCCTTGAGTCAACTTATTTAATCTTTTAGTATTTTTTTCATGAGGTAGGCAAGATGCATATTTTTATACTTACTTTTCAAACCTAAAGGCGTTGTAGTCCACAAAAGGGAAGTGAAAGCTTTGTGTCCAAGCCCAGGGTAGAACGTGTGTCACCTGCTTCCTAGTCAAGGCGTTTTGTTTTTTTTTTAACTTTTGCATACTGAATAATCACAGATCAATAGATAAAAAGCTCACATGGAAATATCCATGGAAGAAATATCTTCTTGTGAATGGGTGGGGGACTCATTCAGTCAGCATTCCCATGGTAATCCGTCAGCGTGAACCGCTGAAGTCATCAAGGAAGGATGAGCTTAATCAGATTGTGAGATGTCTGGGTGTGATTTCAAAGTGCAGTGCAGAATTAAAGATTTTGGAGTTAGAATGAAAATTGAATTGATCAGGGATCTAAACAGCCATGAGGTTAAATAACTTACATGAGACCATTCAGCTAGGTGAAATCAAGGGTGTGACAGGTTTACGGCCACACCCTTTACTAGTTCCTAGCATTTTCTTACAGTTTACATCCCCAGACAGGTGGCACTCTGGATGACTAGGACCCCCCCACATTTCAGATAAATAAAATTTGACTTTATTTGTTTCATATTTTAGGTTCACTGAAATTGCTTTTAATGAAATCAGAAAGACACGCTTTATGTATGTATAGGAAAAGCACAACTGGATCACCGAATCTATCTGCCAAATATTTTCTTTAGCACCACTTATCCTTAAGCATCTTTAAATTTCCTCATTGCTGTAGTCATATTACTATTAATACAAGAGAAAATCAATTTTAACGGCAATACGCACTTATATAATATTCATTACGGCTCCTGCAATATTTCTGAAGTATGACTGTGCTCTTGACTGCCAACTCTACACTCTTCTAGAGCTGGTTAAAAAAAAAAAAATCATAAAATTGGTTTGTCAGCACTGAATTCGTTGCGGGACTCCCTGTGTTGTAAAAGGGAAACCAACTCCAGTCTGGCCGTTAGACACACGTACTCCTAACACGGCCTTCTTATTCCTGGGATCAGCCAGTCCTTCTGCAAGTCTCTCATCCCCAGTTACCCTCAGCTAGTTCCTTTACTAACCAAAACTTGCATGATAATAATCCCTGGCTATTGTGAAACTCCGATAAGATGGCAGGCATAAATGTGTTTTAAAAGGGTAACTTGATATGCAAATGTACAGCTGATTCACAATCATCCTTTCAGGAATTTAAATCTGATCTGGTGATATAATTTTTGTAAGAATGAAATACATAATCTCCATCTTCATATAATTTAAGATTAATATTTTAGATTTGACTCTTCCACTTTGCAGTTCTTATCATTATGCATATTCTTTTTTAAGTGCTCAGATACACGTTCATTTAATTAAATAGTGGAAAGGTTGGTTAGTGAAGTTATTAGAATAATAATAATGGATAACATCATGAAGCTGAAAGAGGACAGATTGGGTTTATAGGTTAAACTGTGAATAGATTTATCTCTCTGATCCTGCCATGCTGAACAAATAATTAAAATTAATATAAACATTAACTATATCCAACAAATAGCTAGACTTTGGCAATATTTTTAAGAATGCTTCCCATAATTTCCAATTATAATTCCTTTAATGATCTGTATTCAAATGCACAGCACCAGAAAGGAAAAGGGAGAAATGACAGGATTGTGGAGGTCCCGTCCCAGGCACCGTGTTATTATAATTCCATGTGTTTTTTTAAAACTTATATCTGAAAGAAAAATTTGTGAACTTTATCGACTTGCTTATATTTTACCTAGGAAAATCAAAATTTGGCACGCTCTCCTTTCTTCTTCTGTTGTATCGTGAAAGAAAACGTGTTTCGAAACAGCTTTTATTACATAATTAATTTTTAGTATTAAAAGCAGATATCAACATGCTCCATGTCTGGCCTAGATATCCTTTGGCTCATAAGCATCCACAGCAGGCTGCGTGTTTCAAACTCTGTTTTGTCTAATTTCCGTATGTCTAATGCTTTTATGGGATATTCCAAATTATCCATTTGAATTAAGTCTATTTATTTCAAGGTGTGGACTGAATTTAAGTTTCTTTTCTGCTATTATGTTCTAGATTCTATTTTTCCCCATTTGTCAAATCCTTATTTCCTTAAACATTTTACCCTACGTCTCTCATCCTTCCTTTGTATTAACTCTGTCGTGCCCACATTCAAGTGGACTAAAGTCTCTCTTTTCTTAAATCAAGGGCTTGGTACTGCTCACCGTTGTGTATAGACAGGTACTTAGCACTTGTACAGGAGGCCTCAGATAAGTGGTCAGAAGTCAGGGATAGAACCAGAAAGCCATGGTTTCTAGAAAACCAAAAGAGAAAAACATTTCCAGAAACAGTGAACAGTGAATAATTCCAGGCAATTTGATGGTTAGTGTGGCAATGGGACAGAAATGGGACAGAAACCAAATGAAAGGTTAGAGTAAATGAAGAACTTAGATATGAAAGTGTCACTATGCACCCTGTTAAGTAATGTGGAAATTCGGTTTCTCTCTTTTAAACATGTTGATTCTTCTACTAGGAATGTCCTTTGCCCCTTTATCCAATTGGCAAACTCCTATTCATCCATCGAGTTTAGAGTATAAATGTCTAAACACAACAATTAAATAAGTGAGGTGAACGCTACATTAACCAGTTTTGGGTAAACATTCCAAATTGTATATAAAATCAGCACATTGTACCCCATAAATGCAGTAATGTACACAGTTATGATCTAATAAAAAAAACAAGTTTTCATAAAACCATTCCTAAGCATCCCAGGAAAAATCGGGGGTGCCTTCTCCCAAAGATACGTAGCACTTCACATCACCACTTGTGTGCAGTTAAGTCTCTGAGTTGTAGGTATTGGTTTTATTTTTCTATGGTCTCATGGGACAGGGGATTCCTTGTGTCCAGAGATAGTCTGTTCATCCTCAGACCCCAGGAACAAGCACAGAATAGGAATTCCATAAGTATTGTTGGACCGACCAATGTTCCTCTCCATTCTTACGTGGCTTCCGGAAGTAGAGTTTAAAATTAAAAAGACATAATCAGGGAGTGGCATAAGCTCATATTCCTTCCTGAAGTTTCCCTTCTACACTGTTCCAAATGTAAACACACACACCCTTAAAGAGACACCTCCCCTGTAGTTTCATCATAGCCTCAAAGTGTCTATACCCCATTAACGTAAAGAGCAGCTCACACCAATCAATTTTAGCAAACATAGCTCAGCTAAAATTTATCCATTACCTTTTATGCTATAGTCATTGAAGGAATTACTTGCACAAACTTATTTAAGTCTCAAAACTAAACTCATTATCCAGATGAATATGGTACTCGGAGTGTTTAAAATAATTTGGCCCAAATGAATATGACTTTTCTTCACTTTTTACTTTTAAATAAGACTCACTGGAAGTTGCTGAGTTGGTGCAGAGACTCCATGTACTCTCCATCCAGTCTCTCTCCATGGCTACGTCACGGATAACTCTAGTTTGATATCAAACTAGGAAATGGTCATTAGGGCAATGCATGTGTGTAGTTTCATGCGTTTTATTTCATGATTTGGCCACAAAACAAGATGTGTTGTCACTTTCGTCACATCCACCCACCTGCCAACCCTTACCCCTGACAACCCCTAATTTGTTTTCCAATTCCATGATTTTGTGATTCTGGAATGCCATACAAATGGGATCATACAGTCTGTGACCTTGGGAACTGGCCTTGTATCCTCAGAATGATGCCCTAGAGCTCTGTCTCAGTTGTAGCAGGTTACTAATACTACATTCCTTTTTATTGCTGAGTAGTATCTGGTGATTTGAATGTATCACTTCTTTTTTTAACCGTTAATCCATTATAGAATATTTTGAGATTTTTCCTACCATTTTTGGTTATAAAAATAAAATTAGTAGAAACAATAGCTTCTTTTTCCATCTTTAAACTTTCCCTGCACATATATTGTAATATTTTAAGTGAGTCTTTTGCAGATAGCATGTAATTGATACAATGTGTTAAATCCACTCTGCCAACCTCTGTGTTTTTAGACCATGTACATTTTACTTAATTACTAATTTGTTAATGCGTAAGCCTCATGTTTTATTTATTTTGTTGTTTTCTGTCTGTTTCTTCTAATTTTTGTTTCTCTGGGTTTTTTTCTGCCTTCCTCTGGGTGACATGAGCATGTTCTAAGGTTCTAAACCATCAGGAGTGTCTTTGAGTAGGTTTCTTTGCACAGAACTTTTGGTAATTGCTTTGGGTATTACTTTACCAACATGACTTATCATAGTCTAAAGATGTCCAGCTTTTCCCAGAACCCGTAAGGTAGCAAAACCTCATCTTCCTTGACAATTTTTCACTCTGCCCAATTTAAAATACATTTATTTTAACTATAAGGAAGAAAAGTTTTCTAATGAGAAAGTGTTACAGTTTTGGTTTCAACTGTCCAGCAAATTTAGACAACTCAAAAGAAGGAATGTGTTTACCTATATTTTTACTTTTATCATTTTTATTTCTTCCTGACTTTCTAGGATTTATTCTTTTATGTTACTTCTATTTATTAAAAGGAATTCCACATCCATTCTTGTCTGTCAGGTCAACTGAAGACATTCTCTTAATTTTCCACATCTGAGAATGTTCTCATTGTCCCTTTCCTCCTGAAGGTTGTCCTTGCTTGGCATAGAATATTGAGTAGTATAAAAGCTGTCAGCCATTATTTGACATTCAGGTGCTCTTCAAAGGGCCATAAGGCAATATTTGGAAATCATGTGGATTACAGTGTAAAACCTTGAAAAATAAAATTACTACTATTCCTGGTTTTCATTAGTATTGCTACAGGTTTATTACAGGTATGAGTTACATAACATAAACTGTCTATCAGGAATATAACAGATT